AAAAGTTAGTGAGGCAAACATAGAGTCCGTTTGGGCTACGTTAGAATTTGGTAATCACACAGTAACTCGTGTAGGTGTGATTTATAGGCCCCCAGGACAAATTGAAGAGTTAGATAATCTACTAGTTGAGGAAATAGCTAAAATGACAATGAAGGGGAAGTTATCATCATGGGTGACTTTAATCTTCCTGATGTAAATTGGAAAACAAAATTAGCTACTTGTGCCAGGAGCACACATATTCTAAACTCCCTACTGGGATTGTCTCTAAAACAAGTTGTTGAGGAGCCAACTCGTAAAGAGGCCATACTAGATTTAGTGTTAACAAATGGAGATTTGGTATCAGATATTACTGTAGGTGAAAGTTTAGGATCCAGTGATCATCAGTCAGTGTGGTTTAATATAAGAACAGTGACTGAGTCACACCACACAAAAACAAAAGTTTTAGACTTTAGAAAAACAGACTTTTCTAAAATTAGAATATGGGTAGAGGAGTCATTATCAGACTGGAGCAATTTAAATGGAGTCCAAGAAAATGGGATTATTTAAAAGTTGCACTATTGAAGGCAACAGAAAATTGCATTAGGCTTGTCAGTAAAAGCAAAAAATTCAAGAAACCACTGTGGTACTCCGCAGATGTGGCCAAAATAGTTAAAAACAAAAAGTTAGCATTTAGGAATTATAAAAAAAACCCAGAGTGAGGAAGACAAAATGATCTATAAGATTAGGCAGAAAGAGGCTAAGCAAGTTATAAGAGCTTCCAAATCACACACAGAAGAGAAAATAGCACAGTCAGTAAAAAAGGGGGATAAAACATTTTTTAGATACATAAATGAGAAAAGAAAAGTAAAACAAGGATTAGTTAGATTAAAAACAAAAGAAGGAAGGTATGTAGAAGAGGATAAAGGTCAGGCTGACTGCCTCAATGAATATTTTTGTTCTGTATTTACAGAAGAAAATGAAGGAAAGGGACCTCAGTTGAGAAAAAGGATAAATGAGTCATTTATTACACGTGAGTTTACAGAGGAAGAGGTTCTATTTCAACTGTCAAAAGTAAAGACAAATAAGTCAATGGGACCTGATGGAATACACCCAAAGCTATTAAAAGAGCTTAGTGGTGTACTAGCAAAACCATTAACAGATTTATTTAACCAATCATTGTTAACAGGAGTAGTCCCAGAAGATTGGAAGTTAGCGAATGTTGTGCCCATCTACAAGAAAGGTAATAGGGAGGAGTCGGGCAACTATAGGCCAGTAAGCCTTACTTCAGTAGTGGGGAAAGTGATGGAAACCATGTTAAAGGATAGGATTGATGAACATCTAAAAACACATGGATTTCAAGATCAGAGACAACATGGGTTTACTTCAGGGAGATCATGCCAAACTAATCTTATTGATTTTTTTGATTGGGTAACTAAAATTATAGATCAGGGTGGTGCAGTAGACATTGCTTACCTAGATTTCAGTAAGGCTTTTGACACTGTTGCACATAGAAGGCTTATCAATAAACTGCAATCTTTAAGTTTGGATTCCAATATTGTTGAATGGGTAAGGCAGTGGCTGAGTGACAGGCAACAGAGGGTTGTAGTTAATGGAATATATTCGAAGCTTGGACTTGTCACCAGTGGGGTACCTCAGGGATCTGTACTTGGACCCATTCTCTTTAATATTTTTATTAGTGATATTGCAGAAGGTCTTGATGGTAAGGTATGTCTTTTTGCTGATGATACTAAGATATGTAACAGGGTTGATGTTCCAGGAGGGATAAGCCAAATGGCAAATGATTTAGGTAAACTAGAAAAATGGTCAGAATTGTGGCAACTGACATTTAATGTGGATAAGTGCAAGATAATGCATCTTGGACGTAAAAACCCAAGGGCAGAGTACAGAATATTTGATAGAGTTCTAACCTCAACATATGAGGAAAGGGAGTTAGGGGTGATTATTTCTGATGACTTAAAGGTAGGCAGACAATGTAATAGAGCAGCAGGAAATGCTAGCAGAATGCTTGGTTTTATAGGGAGAGGTATTAGCAGTAGAAAGAGGGAAGTGCTCATGCCATTGTACAGAACACTGGTGAGACCTCACTTGGAGTATTGTACACAGTACTGGAGACCGTATCTTCAGAAGGTTATTGATACCTTAGAGAGGGTTCAGAGAAGGGCTACTAAACTGGTTCATGGATTGCGGGATAAAACTTACCAGGAAAGGTTAAAGGATCTTAACATGTATAGCTTGGAGGAAAGACGAGACAGGGGGGATATGATAGAAACATTTAAATATATAAAGGGAATCAACACAGTAAAGGAGGAGACTATATTTAAAAGAAGAAAAACTACCACAACAAGAGGACATAGTCTTAAATTAGAGGGACAAAGGTTTAAAAATAATATCAGGAAGTATTACTTTACTGAGAGGGTAGTGGATGCATGGAATAGCCTTCCAGCTGAAGTGGTAGAGGTTAACACAGTAAAGGAGTTTAAGCATGCGTGGGATAGGCATAAGGCTATCCTAACTATAAGATAAGACTAGGGACTAATGAAAGTATTTAGAAAATTGGGCAGACTAGATGGGCCGAATGGTTCTTATCTGCCGTCACATTCTATGTTTCTATGTTTCTATGTTGGCTGCTTATAGGAACCATTTAGTCAACTTTTGCAATTAATTATAGCAAAATATATATTTATTTTCACTAGTTGTATATTGGCCTACATGGTGAATAATTTACATCTAACATTGAAAAATATTTATTGTCACTGTTACTGAATAACGCCTTAGACCTGGCTGTGTCTGTCATATCAGCTGATTCATTCTTTACCTTTTATGTACATGCAGGATTTTGTTTCATTCTCGCCCATGGAATTTCTGGAGAATTTCTACTTGTACTTTCAATTTTATGTTTCTCTTTCAAACAAAATGTACTGTTTACAGGAAAGCAATTCACACTCACTATTTCAGCCAGATCACACAATCAGTTTCTTATGTCTTGATACAATCAGATGGACAAGGTATACCTGACAGTTACATGCAGTATACCTGTTTTAATTTATCCAGTTATTGAGAATCTTTAAGAACGAGTCGCTTACTTGTTTATTTCTTGTTTAGTGTTTTTTTTTCAATTTACTGTTAAAAAAAAAAAACAACAAAAAAAAGTTCAGCATTTTAAAATTGACTATACTTTTTGTGCAGGAACTGAAGATTAAAAAAAAATATATAGTTTTTTAATACAAAATGGCTAAAAATGGTCCAAGACACCTAGTTTAGTAAATTATCCCACAAATCGAATTATAAGCAAACAAAAACAATAAACAGAAAGTTGAAAATATATTGAATTACACAAAAGCCATTGGACAGAGCATGTCTTCTCGCCAATGCAGGCACTGCCTACCAAGTCAAACGAGCAGAGCTTGCAGGCAGCGAGGGACCTGCTGGGATCAGTCTGTGATCTGACTTTACAGCTCCCTCGCTGCGCAGTGCTAATGGTGGGAGCGGGAGGTAAAATCACCCTAGCCACAACATCACTACACAGACTACACATTCAGTTCACAGACTGATCCCATCAGCAAACCATTGGACACAAGGGATAAAGGCACAGCGCTACGAAATTTGCTGGTGCTATATAAATAATAAAATAATAAAAATAATAATAAAGGTGTAAATAAAAATTAAATGTGTATGAAAAGTGTATAAATGTATGTGTGTATGTATATAAATGTGAGTGTATATGTGTGTGAATGAATGTGTATGTCTGAATATAAATGTGATTGTGTGTGAAAATGTGTGTATATAAATGTGAGTATATGTATGTGAACGTGAACTAGTGTGTGTATGAATGTATGTGTGTATATGAATGTATGTGTTTGTGTACATAAAATATCTTGTGTGTGAAAGCACGTGTGTATGAATGTTTGTGAGTGTGTGTGTATATGAATGTGGGTTTGTTCGTGAGTATGTGTGTATATTAATGTGTGTGTCTTTTATTCTCCTTATAATAGGGTATTAGGGAGACACAAAAATAAAGAAAAATTTATAGGGGGGAGGGGATGTTGTGCAAATATACATTTCCACCCTGGGTGCCATGTTACCTAGATACGCCTCTGGTGACAAGATGTGCCTGTCTGAACATATATACTTTAAAATGAGGCTGTTGACCTATTGATACAATATATTTAGTTAATAGCACCTTAGGTAAAATATAGTATTGATTTAGTTACAAACTGTTATCATAACTTGCAAAAATCTGTCAGAGCTTTAAAGCTCCCTTTTCATTGGCCAAAACCTGGTGATTAGGAGATGTGAAGGGCATTTGGCACTGAGAAGGGGGCAACCCAAACCATCTGTTTTCCCTGGTCCTTCCTATAAAACTGAACATAGCACTGATTGTGCACCTTTGTATCTTGTATAGCGCTGCCTTCATTTTTCACTATTTGGCTTATCCTTAACCCTGCTTTGTGGCAACAGGCTGTAAGGTTAACAGCAGAGAGAGACTTGGATATTAGTATTGTTTTTGGGTACTACAGTAACCCTTCATCTGTCTTTATGTGACCACATTTCTCTCAATTGTATTATATGTAAAAAAGTAGAACGTCTACTGGACTCAATCTATTATCTCCATTAGGTATCCTTTTTTTTTTCCATATCGATCTCCTTTTCTCCGGTTGTGAGCTGCTTGTGTCGGCATGCAGCGAGGGCGTGACTCTAAGAAACAATGAAAAGTATGCAGAACAAGTTATGCACTTAAAGTGGCTTTGTCATGTCAAATATGATAAACTTCCTTTCTAGAGATCTCTTCAATTAACTCACACTTTGTGCTTGTCAAGTGGCTAGCTACTGTGCAGATACAGAGTTATTTATATAGACTTACCGGCACACATAGACCTTGGCACCACCACCACTGTACCAGATACCTGTGTCCCTTACGTGATCGACAGCGCTGAGCTAAAATATGGTCACTGGAGTATGGACACCCATCTGACAACTAATTCAGCACACACATCATACTGATTGTTAATCAGTACAGTACTCCTTATATTGGTTCAATCACGGATACATTTCTGTTATTTCATAATTTTATTTTTGTCTCGGTGTACACTGCCCCCTCTAGATTGTAAGCTCATGTGTAGGGTTCCCTTCTTTTTTGTTTCTATGTGTCTAAATATTTATCCCCTGTTTGTATAAATGCCAACGTTATTTTTGCATGAACTGTAAATCGTGACGCCATACACATCATGTGTGAGCAGGCGGTTGCAAAGTATTTATTCGCAAACTTATTGCAAGGTTTGTCTAGGGCAGGGATAGGCAAACTTCGGCACTGCAGATGTTGTGGACCCCATAATGCCCATAATGCTGGCAAAGCACCATGGGAGGTGTAGTCCAAAACATCTGGAGTGCCGAAGGTTGCCTATGCCTGGTCTAGGAATCCTATAATAATAATAATAATATATATATATATATATATATTTTTTTTTTTTAAAAAGCTTATTTTGTGCGTCTCGCTGCACTCCTACATTGATGAGACATACTGACACCCATACAGTTCTGTAGCTGAATTCTTGGGGTGTCCATGGGTTCCCCATCACTGATCCAAGTTGTCAAATGAGGTCATCCTTCTCCACCATGGATTAAGCCATCTGCTTGCTAGGATTAAAAACTTTTTTTTAAATAAGTGTTTTCTTTTTAAATAACTGCTTTAACTTCTTTACCTTCTTGTAATGTTATATTTGCTTGAATGTGATAGGAAGTTAAACAGTATGTAACAATGTATCAACTCTCGAAATATAAATATAAACTCCAGAACCTGTTTGTACTGGGCTAACCCAGCTAGATTGCATTCTAAACCAATATCCACCATGAGGGCAGAATGTGTGGTATAAGAGGCCAGGAAGGGGACAGGGGCCAGATCTGCTGACAGCGTAATTTCCCCCCAGGCTCCTGGGAGCTTTATGGTCTGGGTCACTTGTTCATCAAAGGGGCCAGTGCAGGAAATACTGTAACCACTGAGCTGTCAATCACTGCAGTAATTCATGGTGTTCCAACCTACATCCGCAGCAACAGATGGGCTAAAACTCTCAGGACATGGCTGTATAATTGGAGGCCCACTGGCAGGATGTGGCTAATGTTTTGTGTTTCCTTGACTACACTTGGATATCAATAGTTTGACAGTTTCAGCTCATTCACCCAGGCACTTCCCAGTCATTAAATAATAAAGAAACGAAATAATGTCCGTGACTGCATTGTGCAAGTATCACAGGGATCCCAATGAGAGGACTGGAGCAGGGGTGTGTGAAACAGGCACAGGGGGTCATGGGTTTCTCTACAACTAATGTACAATTGTTTTCCTACTTTTTGGACATCTTTAAGCATATTTTTTTGAAAATTCCTTGATTTAATTTTTTTTATAAGTCAACAATCCCTCAAGATCAACAGGAGTGGAATGGTTTCTGATCAATACATAAATAACCAATAACAAAATAAATATAAAATAAGGAAAGTATAATCGTGCGTACCAATATAGGTAACGTTTTACCTTAATACTTAATACGTATCAACGTCCCTTTAACCCCTTAAGGACACATGACATGTGTGACATGTCATGATTCCCTTTTATTGCAGAAGTTTGGTCCTTAAGGGGTTAAATGTTTAGATATACTGTTAAAACACAAAACGGAGAGTATTCTATTGGAACAAGTTTCAATAAACCTAGCGTTTTATGCCTGACCCAAAAAGGATTTAAAGGGGACGCTTTTCAAATATTCACTCTTAATCGTACCATGAGAAATGAGAATATGAACTATATAACATTATTCGAGTACTGCCAAATTTGTCAGTGCTTTACAAATAATTTATCATTTATTGATTATAATAATAATATATATTTTCTCAGCATTAATAATAATAATAAAACGTATATCCATAGAACACGGCATGGTTTGTTTAGTGTTAGGCTTTGTAAAATATTGTAGAAAGTAAACTCCCATCATAACCAGCCAGAAACAGCCTGTATTAGAGTAATAGGAATTGCAGTCCATACCACCTCTAATGTCCATGGTGAGTACATCCTTGTACCCAGGGCACAGGTAGCATAATGTTGGTTAATGTCAGGGGTTGCCTGCTACAGTAGAATATAATCTCCCATCACTTCCAGCCAGGAGAAGCCTGTCTGAGAACGGTGGAAGCTACACTCCTCAGCTGTCCATGGGTTTAGGCTGGGAACATTAATTTAGCGTAATGAGAACTGTAACTCCTATCACATCAGGCATTGTTCTGCCTGGCTGAGAAGGGGAGATATCCTTGGACAACACTGTCATGACAGTGAATTTTTTGCCCACCCCAATTGTACAGCGCTGCGGAATATGTTGGCGCTTTATAAATCCTAGTAATAATAATAATACCCTGTTGTTCTGTTGAGTGCAGGGCCATATCACATAATTCAAACTTTCTTTGATTTCAATAGAACATTCTGGAATACGAAGACCAAGTGGTGCATTTACTAAACAGTGAGATGCTGTAGGCTGACAATGGACTTGAAAAATGAGCGCAGCTGATAAATAGCTCCAGTGCGGCTTTCCTTGGATAAAATGTTAGAACTTGCGGTGTTATTCACTAAACTGTGAACTGCGGTGAACAATAAACTGAATTAAAATTGAGATAAAAAGTGCTGGTTTGAAAAAAAAATCTCTACATTTGCTACATTTACATCCTGATTATATCAGCTAAAATTGTGTAATTCAGTTTTTAATTCACTGCTATCTAGTGGGTAACCTCTTAAATGTCAACACAGCTTAAATCACTGTTTAGTAAGTAGCCTTTTAGTTTTCAACACACCTTTGTCCATGGATTTAGTATAAACCCATTAGTTACTATTGGGAAAATATGTCTTTCTTAGAATAGATTACTGAATGACAATGATTGACAATGCTGGATCAAAGAGGTTCTGCAGAAGCTGAACTAAAAAAAAGTTATAAAGTTAAGAGGACTACATGACAGGAACATAATATCCAGAGGAAGTGATGCTGGTTGGCCACTCGAACATCAAATAAAAAGGAAAATCCGAAATAATAACCTTTGCCCCAGGCAGACCCTTGGAGAGATCAAAGTATAACCACACTGCCTGTGTGGTACAGAGCTGAATGAATCAGTGGCTAATGGTTACCTCAAGGCTGTGGGTGGGACAGTAAGTGGTTGGGTGAAGTCCTAACTCACTGGAGTGGAGGAGACCTGTGACTCAGCGTTGCTGGGCGGCCCCAGCCAACATTCCTGAGCCTGTCACTGGAGGGAGTGGAGGAGGAAGGCGAAATAAATTCTAACATAGCTCCTCTTTCTTCTCATTCACTCATTGGCACAGCTGAGGAAGCTACAGGTCATTCATTCACTGAGAACAACAGGAGTAGCTGGTGAAGTTCTATCCCAAGTCCAACCCCAGCAGCAGGACACAGCTCCTTGACCAACCCAACCAAGAGGACAGTTCCTAGACCACTAGTGGCCACAGAACCAAGACCAACCCCAGCAAGAGCACATTATTCCTAAACCACTAATTGCTACAAGAACAAACTCACCAAGTGGCATATATTTTAGATTGTCTTCACCATCTGCCACATCTCCAAGACCAGCCCCACTAGCCATTATCTCAGGTCCAGCAGCATCAGCTGAGGCTCAGAAGACCATGAGAATGCAAGCCCCAGAGGTGATCATGGAGGGGGAGTTGGAGAAGAGGAGTGACAATCTGCTCCAGTTCTGGAGGAAGAAGATGTGTGTCCTGACCAAGGACAGCCTGAACATGTTCGCTGACGGGCAGAAGAAGACCAAGTGCAAGGAGCTCAAGTTCCAGTCCATCAAGAAGCTGGACTGCGTGGAGAGGACCGGCAAGTACATCTACTTCACCATAGTCACCACGGACAACAAGGAGATCGATTTCCGCTGCCCGGATGATAGCTGCTGGAACGCGGCCATTACCATGGCCCTCATAGACTTCCAGAACAAGAAGGCCATCCAACACTTCAGGTCCCGCCAGGAGAGTGAGCGGAGGGTCGCACCGTGTGTGTGAGGGAAAGGCGGCCACGTGGAGCAGCAGCGCTTAGAAGGTGAGAGCCGGCGTTCTAATGGAATGTTACAGTGTAACCTGCAGTAGCTGAGTGTTCTAATGGAATGGTACAGTTTTATAATGCACCCCAGCGTTCTAATGACAGAATGTTACAATGTAACCACCCCCCGGCTCAGTGCACCCCCAATTATCGGGTAATACTGGGCTTTTATCCTCGGGAGAACGTCTTCCGCTGGCATAGCTCGTTGTATTTCTGGTATAGTTTGTATTGTAATGAGATTGTGTTTTGGGGTGTCTTGTTTTAGGGAGCAAATAAAGTGGGAGCAGCCATGAGGCAGGAGGAGAGTCGCTCAGTGAAACTAAAGTGTTAACGATTTATTAATTAAAGTCACTTTCCTGGTGGCAATAACTGGCAAGCCACGTGGAGCTGTGTGAATTACAAATAAAAGTATAAAAAATAATAATGTGAATTGTGATATTTAGGGAAAAGTGCCCAAACTGGAAAAGTAGAAGAATTGGATTTCTTTTATTTCTTAAAAAAAAAAGAAAAAGAAAATAATTACTTGGCCAAAGTCATTGTAATTCACTGTTTAGTTAATAAACCCCATAAGACTTATAGCTCATAGTCTTGTGCGGTCTTACCTGTCTTTATCACCTGTATAGCCTCAGGCCAGAGCTATATATATACTGCATGCAACATCTCTTCCATCTGTATAACCTGTGTTGGCTAACTCTGAATGACAAAGCACTGTGGGAATTGAAATTTCACTGACCTATGCAGTGGGAAGGATAGCTCTCATTACTATGTACAGTTGTACTGGACCCCAGTTGTCCAAGGGTTAATGTATTTTTTTGGCTGTGCCAGTTTCTGTATGTATTTGAAGCCCATCCTTCTTATACATTCAGGGTTTAAGAATGTTGTAAAATGCGTGGGAGCCACGAGTTTACAGGTTGTCTTCCATCATGGAAATTGAGTTTTTATTTGATAAATGTTTTAAGAATTTTTTCAGTGATTATCGAAATAACTCCTATTCTGTTTCCACTATAATTGTTCATATAATCTCAGCATTCAATACTACTTTATTCTAAATATCAACTAGAAAAAAGAGAGACAGGCAGCCTCCTCTAAACCTCCTGAGCTGTATCTTTCACTTATTTATACATTCTATACAATTTATCATCTTTTATCATCTTGGCTGTATATCTGTTTAAGAATGTAAAGTAAGAAGCTCAGCCGGATTTCAATTTTTTTTTTTGCTCTCTCATCAAATTGAAAAAAGGGATGTATTCACTAATCTCTGAGTTGTGCTGGATTTAAATCCAAAGGACAATTTTTTAGCCCGCACCAGCCAAGCTTTGCTTATAGAGGAGATTTTCCCCATATTTGCTATTCTTGTATGACTTTTCCCATTTGGTTTTCCTTTCAATGCAATTCCGAGTTTAGTGAATAAACCCTAAATTGCGCAATTTTAAATTCTCCAGTATGAGTTGGCCAATCAATGAGTTGTGTGTTTTCGCAAGAGCCATAAAGGTGATAGTGTCAAAATTCATGGTACCACGCGCCCTTACGACAGTCACAACTCTATTGTACAGCGCTACGGAATTTGCTGGCGCTATGTAAATAATAAAAGAATAATATTATTGGAAAAGTCAATTATGACTACTACCAAATTATTCTTTTCGGATAGTTGAACAATGAATTGAACATCATCCTGTAGCGTATTATTACTAATGCTATATAAACGTGGACGGATATTTATATTTCTTGTGTTTTCCTCTCCTTAGTGCACATATCATGGACCAAATCGAGAGCAGATTCCGGAGATGCCGTATGAAGCGGGAAGCAATTTGCTTACAAGTATAGCGCAAGTCTTGAGATTGTTATTTGAGCTTCACTGGTTGGAATGTCCCCTCACTGACTTACGAGAAATACAGATGAAAGATTCATCATGATGGGAGACACAATTTGTTTCGCCTTATTTATTGTACTGAGGAAAAAAACATGCAATACAAACCGGACGTGACCGGCTAATTTATTAAGCAGTACAGTGTCTGTCTATATATCTATATATGTGTATTTGTATTTATTTCAGTTGCTTCTTGTCTTAATATATAAATATATTTTTATTTCATTTCAAGACTGTTAATTCCGAATAAATGTTATATGAAATGTTAACTTATTCTATTAAAAATAATTTTTTTATACAAAACAATTTACTCAATAGTTTCATTAAGGTCAGACTTGTCAGGTGGGTAACAGCGGTTTGGAATTTGTGTGTGTGTAAGTGTGCCCATCTATAATTGTATTTTTTTTTTTTTAGGCCTGTGCGTAACCCTATTCACTAAGACCTAGATTTTAACTATACTATTTGGCATCCCTGAGGATGAATTCTAATATGACAACAGCCCCCATAGTTGAGTCTCCAGTCATCAATATCTGCAGCAGATGTTGAGATCCTGCAGAGATAGTGGGCCTGTGACCTCTCTCCATGGGTTGTGCGTTGATCTAATTATACCAAAGGACTCAGCTTTCCATCATAAATGTATAAGTGTATGTGTGCATGTGTAAAATTTCTATATCTTCACACAATTTAAGATACGTGTTGAATGAATTTAGCAATTTTGAGTTTTTCTTCCTCTAATAAGCTTTAACTGATCAGTTTCTTAAAGGAACACTCCAAACACCATAACCACTACATATCACTGTAGTAGTTATGGTGCCAGGTGTGCCCTTACCTGGTGTGTATGGGGCACCACTCCCTGCCACTACTACCATCTCCTGAGAGCTAGAAGTTCCTCAGAAGGAACTTTGATTATCTCTCCTGAGCTACGCCCTGCATTGCATTGCAGCAAGCTTTTGTGATTATGGTATTTGGAATGTTTCTTTAACAACCGATCGCTGCTACAGTGAGCAGGAAGTGCTTGAAGAGTGTGGGGAATTCCTTTCCCAGCATTCTGAAATGTAACACCAGACTTCAGTGTTACGTAAAAGAAAACTGCGGAGTTCAGATAAGTTCACTACAATAGCTATTCAATAAAGTGGCAATTCACAGTGAACATATTGAATTTGACATTTTAGGCTCAAGTCAGCTGAGATTGTCTATATGTTACGGTCCATTAAGCAAGGATCAATATGTTATTTTGCCATTAAATTATGTCATTATTTGCATCAAAATTAAAGACTAATTCACATAATTGTTTCTAGAACAAAAAAAAAGCAAGGCAGATTACGGTTGTTGATTACTTTTTTTTAAAAAATAATTCAGTATTGCAGTGGTTAAAGAGGTATAAGTGGCTAAAGAGGGGGTGATAGTCATACGGAGGTTTCATAATAATAACCCCAGCATTTGCAAGGGATTGGGGAACATGGACTGTCACCAACTTGATGGTGACAATTCCTTTTAAAATATTTAGAAAATGAGTGTGATAATACCAGGGCAGTATTTGACATTTTAGAAAGCTGCCTGAGAGGGTAAAGTATTTGAGAGAGTGAAAGTATTTTTAAGATTAACCTTATAGTGCAGATATTTGGGTCAAACTGAACATTAAAAAATATATATTTGTTTGGGATGTTCCTTCCTGGGGGAAAAATTGCAAACAAGGATGTTTTCTAAGCTGGTGGGAGTTTATAGGTAGATTTGGAATGTAGGGCTTAATTCTATTATCATTTATCACCAACATGTTCTGTAGTGTTTTAAATTTTTAATTTGTGGATGTGTCAGAAAACAACTTTACTCTGGATTTAGAGTAGTTGGCCACCTGCTGAATTTTATGGAAAAGTGCTATTTTATTACAAATTAATCGGTAATAATTTTACTGTGGCGGATGGATGTTTAAAGTGACATCAGACAATCCCCAAGGCACATACCAGTCTATAACTGGATAGGCTGTTTGGTCAAAAATTGGTGAAGTTATGCGACATAAGCATAATGGCATTTGGAGAACATTTCTCAAGTTCTTCAATAAAATGTAACCCTTGGGGCAGAATATACTTTGACAACGATAAGTAAAGTCTCATTTAAAAGGGAAGTATAAGTAATTAACATATATAAAGTGTTTTTGTCCCGTTGAAAAAACTTGGAAAAATGGGTCGTCCCATTACTGAAAATACAGAATTAAAATTCAATATCAGCTTTTGAGAATAAGGGCCGTGTCCTTTACTTGGTAGTATACACTGATCAGTCGCAATATTAAAACCACAGGTAAAGTGAATAACATTAATTATATTTTTACAATGGCACCTGTCTAGGTGTGGGATATATAAGGCAGCAAGTGAACAGTCAGTTCTTTAATTTCCTATGTTGGAAGCTGGGAAATTGGGCAAGTGAAAAGATTTGAGGAACTTTGACAAAGGCCAAATAGTGATGGCAGACGATTGGGTCAGAGCATCTCCATAACGGCAAGTCTTGGGTGGTGGTTAGTACCTGCCAAAAGTGGTGCAAGTAAGGACAACCAGTGTTAGGGTTATGGGTGCTCAGAGATCATTGATGTGGAGCGAAGCCTAGCCCGTCTGGTCTGATCACAAAGCAGAGCTACTGTAGCTCAAATTGCTAAAAAATGCAATGTTGACCATGATAGAAAGGTGTCAATACACAGTGCATCGCAGTTTGGTGCGTATAGGGCTACGTCACCACAAAATGGTCTAAATGCTCATGATGACTCCCGTCCACCGCCGAAAGCACCTTCAATTGGGATGTATGCATCAGAACTGGTCCATGGAGTAATGGAAGAAGTTTGCCTGGTCTGATGAATCACATTTTCTTTTAGATCAGGTGGGTGGCCGGGTACCTCATCTACCTGGAGAAGAGATGGCAGCAGGATGCACTATAGGAAGTACGCAGGCCATTGGAGGCAGTGTTATGCTGGAAAACCTTTGACACATACCACCTATCTAGAGATTGTTTCAGACCGTATACACCCCTTCAATTGCAATGGTGTACCCTAATGGCAGTGGCCTATTCCAGTAGGATAATGCATCCTGTCACATTGCAAAAATTGTTCAGGAATGGTTTGAGGAACATAATACAGCGTTCAAAGTGTAGCTTTAGCCTCCAAATTCCCTAGATCTTAAACTGATCGAACATCTGTGGGATTTGCTGGAACAACAAATTCAATCCCTTGAGGCCCCACCTCGCAACATGCAGGACTTAGCCGATCTGCTGCTAATGTCTTGGTGCCAGATACCATAGGACACGTTCAAAGGTTATGGAGTCCTATGTCTCGACGCATCAAAGCAGTTTTGGCATCACGATATTGGGCAAGTGGTTTTAATACGGCTGATATTGTCTAGAATTGCCAGTGGCTAAAATAGCAGAATTTGAAAAATAGGTGATTTGGAGACTATTTTTCAGATTGATTATTTTTTGTTTACAATTAGCAATTCTCCACAATTTCCAGTTTAGTGAATAAGCCATATTTCTTTCAAACATTTAAAAGATCGGCTTGCTTTTCTTGTTTTACAGACAATAAACTATAAATATACATGAATATCTTGTAAAAAAACAAAGTTAAATGACACAATAAAATATATAGCATGTAATACACAACATATACATTTATATACAGGCAGGTGAGTTACGAGCTGGTTGCCATGGGGATCACTTGGTTTAGCAGTGATTCAGATACATTTTGTTTAAACAGTTACTACTGTCTGACATTTACCAGCAACAGGCGAGAGTGTATTTTCCGATCATGTAATAAAAACCGGCCTGTTGGGGAGATTTATCAAAATTTAAGTTACTCAAACCTTTATAATCTACATTTATGATGATGTTCAATCAGATTAGAAATCCAATATAAGGAAATGAGTAAAGAGTCGGCCTGAACACCCTAGGTTCTGTGTCTGGCAACCTTTATTCCACCACAAATGGACACGGCAAAATTTTGACCGAAACTGGCATTTGGCACGATAAAAAAAAAAAAAAAAATGACAATAAAAAATTGAGACAACTTTTTTTTTTTAATAATTCTTTATTTTTCGTGCATAGATATAGATAACATTTAGTCTAGTAATGCCACAACAGCGATTACCAGAGTTTTCAGACTGAGACAACTTTTTAAAACAGACTAAAAAAAAGAATAAAACAATATGACCATTACTGTTTGTGGCATGAGCATTCTTCCGAATCAAAAAAAACTTCCAGTTCATTATTTTATGGATGAAACGTTTTTAATTATTTAATGATTCAGAGTTAGAATTCTCAACTATTTGCTTGTTGGGCGATAGATTTTTGAATGAACCGATTAAATTAAAACCAAAATCAAAAAAGGGGTTTTGATTCAGACTAATCAAATTTGTTTAAAGGTAAATGCAACAAATGCATGTCTTGTCTGTGCTGTTTGTATGTCATTCTCTTCTTGATTTTGAATGGATCCAAAGAAATGACTTTACCACTTAAGTGAGTGAGCCATGAAAGAAGTCTGCTGCCATCTTTGCAAGGCATCAAAGCCGTATATATCCAAAGAGTGGGATTTATTGGCTCTGTACACCATCGAGTGGACCTGGCAATATTTCAACTCTAGTGTCTTTGACAAGCTCCTTAATTAAAGACTCTTACTAGGGTCCAAGCATTGCCAGGTCCACTTAATGGTGGAATACAGAGTGTCATTTAAAAAAAAAAAAAACTGGTGTTAATTTATTGTATGTTGATTTTCAGGGTCCTTTTTGTAGATGGTATGAGCCTTACGTAATATTAGATGCTTTCTCAGTGCTTATTTTTTTGTTTAGTTCAGTTTCTTACTTTGCTTTGTGTGTCATTTTGTAGGATGTTGCTGCTACAATTGAGATCTGAATAATGTTTTGGCAATAGAAAAGAACAGTAGCATATTTTACAAATCCTTTATTTAACACATTTACTGCTTGTC